CCCCCCTTAACATCTTCATCCCCCCCCTCGGCATAATAAATGTACTTTCCCTTATACCCTACAAGATGAAAACTAATTTGAACATAAATGTGTACCAATCCAGGAATAAAGAAATATTTGGCCATTTATGTTGGGTTATGGAATTATTGCCCTTCAGATGTTGGGTGTCATGAAGAAACAAAATGTCAGGGACTTAAATTTGCACAAACCAAGAATTCTCACCCAAAAATCTAATGATATATTTAAGTGTGGGGAGCTCATTTAAAATAAAATTGATTAATCATTTATCATTTTAACACCCACTGCCAAATTTCAAGGTTTTTTATAACATTGATCTTGAGATATAGGTATTTTTGTAAAAGCAGTTGCCAGAAGTTGACAGTAACTAAAATTCGCCATTTTCCTTACAACTTGGGGAGTGCCACTGTTGCAACAGTCTGCAACTTAATGAGTTAATGAAATAATTATTTTTCTATTTCCTCTTGCTAATTCTTAACAAATGATTTATTTTATTTCGCTATATTTAAAATTTAGAGTGATAGTGTTGAGTTTTTTTTTGGTACTTTTGATACAATTTGTTTTTTATATAAATAGATTTCTTAATGCCTGGGCATTATCCATGGTTTGGATTGAATCTTCAATTCTTTTTTTAGATAATTGTTTAATGGGAAGGTGTTTATCAATAATCAAAGACATTCTATTTAAAAATATTTCAAACAATGTAGATGGATCAGTTAGAACATGTTGCCAGTTTATTCCTTGAACCTCGTCAATCAAATCAGATTCATTGAATATTTAGGGAAGAAAATTTATTTATGATAAGGAAATTAGGCAAGTGATCCTACCTCCTCCGCAGGCCATACAGCCTATAATGAGTATGCCTGTTCGCAGGTTGAAATTTGAGGCGAAGGCTTGCATAGCTGTAAGGCCTGCTGAATAACATGTCGATTACTTGGCTTTTGATGTTGATTACTCGGTTGGGTCAAATTTCTTCAAAAATATGGCACATCGTCTGCCAATCTTTAGCAATCCCGTTTTGCGAGTATTTTTTAAAATACATCTTGGCATTAACTATTAATGAATTCAGCCATTGTGAGTTTCTTATTTAAGAAGGTCTAACTTGCCTCCCATTATTATAGACTAGGACCCATAGTGAAAAAAGTCTCTAAAAAAAGTTCTAGCTGCAAACTGGTGGAAAAGTTGATAAACAAGCTATTCCCCATAATTTTTGGGTGCTGATTACGAACATCTTGTTTACCATGTGTGAATTTGCATTTTAAGCCTGTTAATTAGCTAATTAACATTAAATCGAGGCTATTTAATGATTCTTAAATTTTTGTTGGTCATTGTTAAAAAAATCGAGAAAAACAAATTGCCAACACTTTCTAAATAGATACTTTAGTATAACAAGTTGCCAAGTCATTTAGTCAGAGGTACATTGTGCTAACGGTTGATCAAGCTTTGTTTCCGTTACTTATGGAACTGAAATGGGCTGTTCCAGAATATCGGGACACTCTTATTCCACGGCTAGGAGGTCTTCATATTTCAATGAACCTTCTTAAATTTCTAGGTCAGCATATGCAAGACTCTGGACTATCAGAAATATGTGTAGAGAGCGCACTTTTGGAGTACTGGAGGGCAAAGTGTAGACTTTTGGAGTACTGGAGGGGAAAAAATATAGTAAGGGTGTTAGAGCTCACAAAGTTACTCTTCAAGCGATATGGTGAATTCTTTAGCCGCAATTACTGGCCTACATCGGAGAATGTGACAAGGATCTGAACGAAAGTCAATATGTGTGCACAATCTCGTGCTCCTGGGGATTTTGAGAGAATGTGCGACTTGTTGTCATCTAATTGCTATAGTGCTCTTTTGTCGTCCTTCATTGCCGCTTAAAAAGAAAGAAACCCTAGTTTCCAATTTTTGTGGCAGTACAACGAGATGGTTTGTATCATCTTTCGTTTTACCAGAGCTCTGAGAGATGGCCAGTGGGACTTACATCTGTATGCTTTTCAAGAAATGCTACCATTCTTCCATCGGTATGACCATACAAACTATGCAAGATGGTGTCCTGTTTACTTTGCACAGATGAAGCAGTTGCCAGCTGAAGTACAAGCAGAATTTGATTGTGGTAACTGGGTAGTTAAGGGGTCATCGCAAAGGTTTAACCAAATAGATCCAGATCAAGCTCAAGAATGCTCAAATTGCTCAAATTTCAAAATGGCGGCAAGTCAAGCAAATACGAGCTCTACAATTTGTGATAATTCCCAACTAATAAGTGATGCTTCACATTCACAAAAAGCAATATCTACTTTCCTATATCTTTTGGAAGACAATTTGTTTTGGGAGGGTGACTTGGAGTCACTAAAGATGTTTATTGAAGCTGATTTACAAATCAACGGAAGATGGTCTTCGCCACGCGGTGAAACAACCCAATTTAGTAACCCCGATTTTTGCTTAAAATGGCTTGGGCCTATTGATAAAAAGTTAACGATAGTCCAAGACAACGACGAAAATCACCTACAGATCACTTTAAAGAGCTATGCCATTCTACCAAAGTCAATAAACGACCAAATTCAGAATTCCGAAATCGAACAGGTGCCAGATGTTGTTGTTGTTGACAAAGCCAACAAAACGGTAGCGGAAACCAAGGACGAAAATTATGACCAATATGGACACCACAGAGAAGAAATAGACAAGTTACTCGTTCTAATAAATGAAATTAAACAGAAACAAGACGAAGATCGGCAAATTAACGAGTGCAAAGCAGCAAAAACCGATGCAGAGATAAAGTGGCGGTCGAAATTAAATGGCGGTCGAAATTAAATCATTAAACGCCATTAACGAAGAATTAAGAAATGATAATGCTATTATAAGATGTGCTTTCGAAATTAAGCAAGGAGAATGGACCAAAATCGAACACGCAAAATCTGGAGACAAAAAAAGAACTGAAGCAGAGCCTGTTCCCAATATAAACAGATATCAATCACTTCCTGACGAAACTACAGAGAGTGTAGACAGTGGTGTAAAAGCACAAATA